GAAATTTTCTATTTTTTAACTGTGTAAAATACATATAACAAAAAACTTACCATCTCAAACATTTTTAAGTGTGCAATTCAATAGTGTTAAATATATTCACAACAGGCCATCAAAACGTTTTCATCCTGCAAAAACGAAACCCTAGATTCAATAAACAACTCTCCACTCTGCCTCCCCTGGCCCTGGGAGGGCACCATCCCACATTCTGTGTCTGTGATATCAACCACTCTCGGCACCTCATACAAGCGACATCACACGGCACTTGTCTTTTTGTGACTGGATTATTTCACTCAGCATGACTTCTCCAGGTTCATTCATGCTATAGCACGTGACAGGAGTTTCTTCCTTTTTAAAATGAATAATATATCAACATCCAGGGGTGGGCACAAGTAGGTTAAATTACCAGCCATCATTACCTAAAAGATAAATCATAAGAATACAAAATAATAACAATAATAAGATATAATTCCATAATACAGTAATTGGTAAATAATAATACAAGAATAACCTATGTTTTGTGTACTCACAACTGTAAACTTACTTTTGCTCACCCCTGTATATTCCACATTTGTTTATCCATTCATCCATTCAATGGACATTTGGATTACTTCCAACTTTTGGCTATTGTGATAGTGCTTCTATAAACACAGGGTACAAATAGCTCTTCAAGACTCTGCTTTCCTTTCTCTTGAGTGTATACCCTGAAGTGGGATTGCTAGATCATGTGGTAGTTTTAATTTTTTTGAAAAATGACCACTGTTTTCCACCGTGGCTGTACCATTTTACATTTCCACTAACAGTGTACCAAGGTCCCAATTTCTCTACATTCTCACCAACCCTTGTTATTTGCTGTGTTATTGATAGTAGCCATCCTAATGGGTCTGAGGTGATATCGTGCTGTAGATTTGGTTTGCATTTCCCTAATGATTACTAATGTTCAGCATCTTTTCACTTGCTTGATGGACCTTTCTAAATGTTCTTTGGAGAACTGTCTATTCAAGTCCTTTGCCCATTTTAAATTAGGTCATTTGAGGGGGGTTTTACTGCTGCTTAGTCTTCTATATGCAGACACTGAATCAAATCTCACCCTCTCTTATCTTTAATACTTTCTAATCAAGACATGCCCCAAGACACTGTCCTATTTTGAAATACTAAGAATAGAGAATTTTGCTCTCAAGAATCTTGAAGTTGGAAAGGCACCATTTCATAAATCTGAGAACTCTTGGAGAAGTTTTGATATGTATGAGATCTTTCATAAAGATATTACATTATTACTATAGTTCTCAGTAGTTCAGTTTGACATTTACAGAGTACCTACTATATAGCAGGCATTGCACCATGCATAAGTTAGAATTAATACACAACACCCAATATTTTAATTCCTTACCCACCAGCTGGACTCTGGGCCACAGTTTTTGGATATATAATTGACCTTTAAACAACATGAAGCTAGGGGCTGACTTCCACACAGTGGAAAATCCTCTTATAACTTTTGACTCCCCCAAAACTTAACTACGAGGGGGGAACCCCCCAAAACCCGGAATTATCTTCTGGAGTGCAGGCACCTTGTAGTACAGGCTTCCCCTGCCTGGTGAGTGTTCTAGGAACACATCTGTATCAGTGTAGCAGCTGGCATTGTTGTGAGAGGCTGTGTTTGGCTTCAGTGAATTTGTTTTGAAGACTCTTTCAATGTATTTGCCCATTTCATGATGGGTGATTTACAAGCGCACTTGCCCACACCACACTGAGTGTTCAGCAGTTTTTGACCAAAACCAGCATGTCCCCTGTGCACCACCTTCCCTATTTACCCACTCTCCTCCCAAGCAACTTTGTTTCCCCAGATGAAAAAAGTCTTCAAAGAGAAAACTTTTGCCGATGTGGAAAAGATGAAACAAAAACATGGCAGGAGCACTAAAAGGCATCAAAACCATTTTTGAGCAGTGGAAAAAATGTGTCAATAGGTGTATTGCATCAAACAGGGAGTACTTTGAAGGAGACTGAAGTTTAAACATGTAAGAATACATACGCAATTTTTTATAAATAAATTCCAAGTTTTGGGGGGTTCTCCCTCATATAGATCCTCTGTATTCATGGGGTTGGGGGATGGGGATTGGTTCCAGGGCCCCTAGGGATCCCCAAATCTGAGGATGTTCAAGCCCCTTATGTATAATGGTGTAGAACAATGCATACAGTTGACATTGTGTATTCCCAACTGCGGACTGAAAATATTGTTTTCCATCTGTGGTTGGTTGAATCCTCCTCAGATGCAAAACCTGGGATTCAGAAGGCCAACTGTATTTTTATTGGAAAAAAAATCAGAGTATATGTGGACACGAGCAGTTCAAGCCCATGTTGTACAAGGTCAGCTGTATATATTTTTGAATGAGTTTAAAAAGCTACAGATCTCTTTTGATCTTTTCTGACAGATTGTCTCTCTCTGAATTAGGAAGTGTACATCCTTAAGGAAGCCTGATCTTTGGGATGGGCCTCTCAATTTTCCCAGGCCCTACACAGGTGAAAAACACACCCTATCTAAAAATGTAGTTTCTTTAAAATTCTTGGTAAAGTTTTAGAGTCTTCCTACACAAGTCTATCATATCTGCTTCTAAACAGAAATTCATCGCTTATTCAGAAAAAATTTCATTCTGGTTACATATTGTTGAATCATACAAAAATCTCAACCTGTCTTTAAAATATGCATAGTTATCCACAGGATCTACATTGGTATACACCTTTTCTAGTCCATCAGAATCTCTGGTCCATAATAACGTTTATCTACTTTTGTGTCCCAAATCTGAACCTAAACCAAACCCCCCAAGAAGCCACTGCACGTAAAAATATTCTTAATCTCTGGCCAGCAGTAGGAACAGTGCCTGCTCCCAGGGCTGAGGTGGCACGACAGCAGGACTGACTCAGAGGAAACTGAAACCCAGAAAGAAGAGTCATTTCCTCCATAAAGGTCTCCAGACAGCTTAGGGTTCATTTGATGCCACACTTCTTCCCTCCCCACCCCCCATCGCCACTAATGTTTGTTTTCTTAGATGCTTCTTGATGTTTATTTTCCTACTTATTGAATGTGAAAATAATCATATTGCTGTAAATCCTTACATGTTTGAATGCCTTAAAAGGTTCTGTATTAATAAAATTCTAGAGTTCAACTCAAGAAAAAGTTTTGCTAGATCTAGGACCATGCAGCCAACTTCTTTCTAGAGAAAGTGCTCCCAGGGGTATCTAAATGACCCTTTATACTTGAGAACAGAAGCCTGTCTAGAGGTGGAAAGACCACTAAGCTTCTTCTCTTTCAATCAGGCCCATGCCTACAAATTCCCTCTTCCTCCCATACCCCTGTGTGTGACAGAGCACTTTGTTTCGTGTTCAGCAGGATTAAGGTGTTTTGGATTAAGACCTTGACATAAACACAAACACATCTACATCTACACAACAACAACAACAACAAAGTGACTTTCAAGTAGAGTTCAAGGTAAAATTTTAGGCACAAGTGACTGAGACAACAACAAGCCTAGATACACTCTAGGAAAAGAGTATTAGCCCAGGTATGCCCCAGAATTGTGAAAACAATGCCACAGCACATCTGGAATCATCTGTATGACTAATAGTACAGTCTATTATTACAGAAAGGTTATAAAAATCTATGGGCCTCACACCATGTGTAATATGGACAATATAGCAGACTTGTAAGAATGTTTGCTTCTGCATTTCCTGGTTTAGGAAGAGAGGTAGGAAGGGTCTAAGATGTCTTATGCCTGTTAGTGATTCTCTATGTACTTGGTTTAGTACTGGTCTCTTGGTCTCTTCTTAGGCAAAAGAGAAGTGGTCAAAAGTTAACAATCTCATAGGCTGAAGATGGAACCCATTCAAAATCTTGTTCAAGTCCTCAGCGAATTATCTTCCTTTTTGAGAATTAAGTCAGGTAGTCTCATATCTTGTTGTGAGGAACCATAAATTCATAAAAATATGGAGGGTCATTTTCTCTGATTCAAAAATTCTTGGTTTGGGGGCAATTAACATGAATCTCTGAAATCCTACCCTCTGCATGGGCATTTAAGACCCAGGAGCCACATTTAGCCCAGGGCATTGCCCTGGTTCCATAAAACAATTTCTAAACCAACAGACATTTGCTGGAGCACCTTACCCAAGTCCAACAGTCATTCTAGTTTATAAAGAAGTAAATCTGTGTTAGCACATACAAATATATTGGCTAACAGCATAATTGGCCCACACAGTTATGTATGAGAAAGAAAAGAGCATAAAATAAGGCTGCTGCCTTCGAAGTACAAAGCAGGCTGAGTAGGTGCCAGGGTATCGGTAGCACCCGGACAGCTCAGCAGCAAGTGCAGAAGTGGAGGGAAGTTTGGATGTATAAAGTACTGAGGGAGACCCACAGGGGTGTCTGAAGACACCCAGAACATGCTAGAAGGAAGTAGTAATGGCTAAATCTAGAACGAGGATTAGCGAGGGTCAGTGTTAAGCTAAGGAATGAATAAACACATTTGAATTTCTCCCTAATTTAGGGGAAAGACTGGGGGAGAAAGGAATCGTAAACAACCCAATTGGGAAGAACTGAGAGTGTGATAACAGAGACGTGTTAAGGGTTATTAGGGACAGTAAAAACGAAAAAGAGAAAGTCGGGGTGATGATTATTAAGAACTACAGCTGAGAGGAGGGTCTTGCAGGGGTAATAAAGGGAGAAGGGTGTGAAGTAAGGGTCAGCATTGTCGGGGTCAACTATGGGAAGACTGCAGACGTCAGCGGCAAAGAAAAGGAGACGGCACAGGGTTAGGGCGTGGCCCAGAAAAGGAATGGCTCAATTAGTGGGCCGTGGGGTGAAAAGGAGAAGGGTGGGGAAGAGCTTTGCTGACAGCAGCTCTCAGATGGTGCCTACAGGGTTAAAACTCAGGGGCGGCGAGAAGAGGCAGAACTCGGTTTCCAGGGTAACGGCTCCGACAGTTCCGGCAGCGCAGGTTTGTACCACTGTGCAGCGCGCGAGGGGGGGGGAGCGCGAAGGGAGGAGGGCCTCGCGAAGGAGCCTCGGAGCCGAGGGTACGTCCCGGACGCTACCAACCGCGCGGCCCGCCTGCTCGCCCCGGGGTCTACGCCGAGCCGCTTTCAGGCCTCCCGGCCGCCGCGTCTTCCGCACCGGGCTGGCAGCTCTCAACTGCCCGCGGTTGGCGCGGGGTTAGAAACGAACGCCCGGTGGCCCGAAGTGGCCTCCTGGTCCCCCCGCCTGGACGGCGGAGTGCGGGCGGCCCGGGCTGGGAGGTTTGAAAAGCGGGCGAGAGACAAAGGCAGCAGGAAGCCTCTACGGCACCCGGAACCGGTGCGCGCAGCCCCCGGATCCCTTCGCGGCCCGCCGGCCTGGAGCGGCGGCGGCTGTGGCAGTGGCAGTGGCAGTGGCAGGAAGCGGAGGATGCGGCAGGGGGCGTGGGAGCGGCGGCGGCGCGGGCGGAGTGGCGCGGCCCGAGTGCGGCGTGGTTAGACCCCAGGCGGCGGCGGCCCGACCGGCTCGGGAGTGAGTGAAGGGCACCTACCCCGCCCGGGATGTGAGGACCGAGCGGAGCCCGGGGCGGGGGGAGGGAAGGGAAGGGAGGTGAAGCCGGCAGGAAGGAAGGAAGGACGGACGGACCAGGAGGAGGAGGAGCGGCGGCGGAGGCCGGAGCCGGAAGGCGGGGAGGGGCCGTCCGTTGGGCCCCAGGCGGCGGCGGCCAGAGCCAACTGCTCTCGTCGCCTCCTCCCCCCGGCTCCGCGGAGGGGGGAGGAGGAAGATGGAGACCCACATCTCATGCTTGTTCCCCGAGCTACTGGCTATGATCTTCGGCTACCTGGACGTCCGGGACAAGGGGCGCGCGGCGCAGGTGTGCACGGCCTGGCGGGACGCCGCCTACCACAAGTCGGTGTGGCGGGGGGTGGAGGCCAAGCTGCACCTGCGCCGGGCCAACCCGTCGCTGTTCCCCAGCCTGCAGGCCCGGGGCATCCGCCGGGTGCAGATCCTGAGCCTCCGCCGCAGCCTCAGCTACGTGATCCAGGGCATGGCCAACATCGAGAGTCTCAACCTGAGCGGCTGCTACAACCTCACCGACAACGGACTGGGCCACGCGTTTGTGCAAGAGATCAGCTCCCTGCGAGCTCTCAACCTCAGCCTCTGCAAGCAGATCACCGACAGCAGCCTGGGCCGCATAGCCCAGTACCTCAAGGGCCTGGAGGTGCTGGAGCTGGGGGGCTGCAGCAACATCACCAACACCGGACTCCTGCTCATCGCCTGGGGCCTGCAGCGCCTCAAGAGCCTTAATCTTCGCAGCTGCCGCCACCTCTCGGATGTGGGCATCGGGCACCTGGCCGGCATGACGCGCAGCGCGGCAGAGGGCTGCCTGGGCCTGGAGCAGCTCACGCTGCAGGACTGCCAGAAGCTCACCGATCTTTCTTTAAAGCACATTTCTCGGGGGTTGACGGGCCTGAGGCTCCTCAACCTCAGCTTCTGCGGAGGCATCTCGGACGCCGGCCTCTTGCACCTGTCGCACATGGGCAGCCTCCGCAGCCTTAACCTGCGTTCCTGCGACAACATTAGTGACACGGGCATCATGCATCTGGCTATGGGCAGCCTGCGCCTCTCGGGGCTGGATGTGTCGTTCTGTGACAAAGTAGGGGACCAGAGTCTGGCTTACATAGCGCAGGGGCTGGATGGCCTCAAGTCTCTCTCCCTCTGCTCCTGCCACATCAGCGATGATGGCATCAACCGCATGGTGCGGCAAATGCATGGGCTGCGCACGCTCAACATTGGGCAGTGTGTGCGCATCACCGACAAGGGCCTGGAGCTGATTGCTGAACACCTGAGCCAGCTCACTGGCATAGACCTGTATGGCTGTACCCGAATCACCAAGCGCGGCCTGGAGCGCATCACACAGCTGCCCTGCCTCAAGGTACTCAACTTGGGACTCTGGCAGATGACGGACAGTGAGAAGGTCAGGTGAGGGAGGCAGCACCAACTCCCCTTGCCCCGCCCTGTTCATCCTCCTGTCACCACCATCCTCCCTCCCCTCTCACTCCACATGCACACGTATCCGTAGATCACTGCAGTGGATGAGATGGGACAGTGACATGGAGCCTCAGGCTCATTTTCTCCTCCCTCCTCTAGCACCCCTGCCCACTACATGACCATTCATTGCTTCTGGGGTTCCTCTGCTACCCCTGAGGTACTCCCATCTCTTTTCCCTGAGGATAGGAGAGGGACTGGGCTACTTACCCATCCACTTCTCTCCACTGGGGAGTGGAGGGGCCGATTGAGCTACTGTATCCCCACTGTGTTGCATTTGAAAATGGGGGTGGGGGTGGGGAGTAAACTAGTCCTTTCAGCCCTGGGGAGTTGAGGAAAATGTCTGCCTTCACTTAAGCTTTCATTTGAATACTGTGATCTGGTTTTTATTTTGAAATGTATGAAAGCAAACCCAACTACAACGGCCTTTTCACCCTTCTTCCACTTCGTAACTAATCCCAGTCTCTTCTCATCATTTCTCTTTTTACAGTACTCTGCTAACTCATGCTCATTTCACTTTTATCGTTTTTCTTTTTGGGAAGAAATTTGGAATCATGGTTCTTTTTTTCTGCTGAATATATTCTATATATATTATATATATATAAATACTATATTTATATATATATACATATGTCTGGCTACCTCGTTTTAGTTTACTTTTTTCTCTGAAGCCCTGGAATTCTACAAGAGAGATATTTTGAGACTAAAACATTTTTGTGCCTAGACTGGAAAGATGCTCATTGGGTTTGTACGTCTTTTTTATTTTGGCTTCTTCCCCAACCCCGTCCATGGAGTATGTCCCGTGTCCACATTTTGGCTGTATTTTTCTCCTTGTCCATTGGGATTTGAGGGCCCAACCATGTTCCTAAATCTTGACTTAATTTATAGCACAAATGTGTGGGAGAAATGAGTTGGAAGTGTTTTGTTTGTTTGTTTGTTTGAGATGCAGATTGTCTTGAAAATTATTATTATATATGCAAATTTGCCCTACCCGCACCCTCTTCCAACTTTCCCCACAAAAAAGGTCACACAGTGAGGTTTCCTGTTGGAAGCAGAGGAGCAGAGTTGGCCTCCAGAGCCCCTGGGGCTGTACTGTGAAGGGGAGGACGGAAATTCATGTCTTATCTCTGTTCTGTTAATAAAATGGGAATTTGTGGGTTTTAAAAAGTTGTTTCTAAATGGAGGAGTAGATGACTTTATTTTGGTGGGGGTTGGGACTTGTGGCTTTAAAAAAATCGCTTTTCAGTGGGATGTATATTTTTGTTGGATTTTTTTGTTTATTTTTTGTTTTAGAATCCTCCACAGCAACATTCGAGACCATGGAGTTAAAGAAACCCAGAGACCTTTATCAATTAATTGTACTGTTTGTGAATTTGTATAAATAATAACAAAGATCCTCTTAAAACGTTTATATTCTTACAGTAAAAGGTTAAACTGATATTTATATAATAAAAGAGGAAATATGAAGTATGTTTTTGAAAAAAAAACAAAAAAACAAAGAACAAACAAACAAGCCAAACCTTGTTATCTGTGAATTATTTTGAATGCAGAATGTGTTTGGGTGTGTGCCCAAGTCGGAGGTGCTTCCCATGCGCCTTGCAGAGAGAGGAGATGGGCTGCCTGCGCCCTGCGTGCTGTGCGTGTGCTCACAGTTTAAGATTCATTCTGTGCGAGGCTTACTACCAAATGTTTTGTTGCTAGAAATGTGGCTAGATAGCAGATTCCTGTAATTTCTGGTTTCTAGCTATCAAAAAAAAAAAAGGAAATTTAAAGGAATTGAACAAAATGAAGCTTTTTTAAAAACCAGATTTGTAAGAGTCACAATTTCCCCAGGGTAGTCAATTTTTCTTTGGGTGGAAATGACATCTAGGGGGTAATGTTCAAAAAACAAGTCATGAGATATGGAAGCAGGGGAGAAAGATGCCGTTTCTTTCCACTCTGAGTGGGTGTGGGGAGGATGTGAAATGGTGAAGGCTAGAGGGAACTGAAGCCATTGTTCAGAAAAGTTGAAAGAGGGCTGTCCTTGCTCGAGGCCGGCTGGCTCAGTCATGCATACTGGATCTTCCTGTGAGGGAGGGTCCTTGTGGAGAGGAGGAGGGCAGTCCAACCCCTCTTTTTAACATTCTCCTCCAGGCCTGGCTGTGTTTGAGCACTTTCTGGGGGATGGGGAGGTTGGCCAGGAGTTTTCGAACATTTGCATTTTAAGCACTTCCAACTCGGAGGGTGATGGTTCTTAGCCTGAATTTCAGGGCAGATAAATGAATACCAACAATTCTAGCAAAGCATTCCCTTTGATAGACAATAACTAAAAAATCTGGCACCCTGTGGTTAGGCTTTGGAAGCAAGAGTAAAACTGCTCAAACAGTGAAGTAATTCATATTCCTGAGTTCACACAGGTCTTTCATAGCTGCTTCTGAGATTTTTGTTTTTTTAAATGAAAAATACTGATCCTAGCAACAGGTGATAAAGAGTATTATAATACTTTCCTGGAGAGCTAGAACTGAGGTTTCTCTGAGGATAAGATTCTTTTGTACAATATCCCAAGCTTTCTGCTTGAGCATATCACAAAAGCTGCATTGTTCCTTTTTGGAGAGCTATCATAATTGGGTCTAATTGAGCCTGACACTAGATCCATCTTCCTTTTCTTTAGGGAAGGTGTGGATCTCTTTCTTCCCTCTTAGGTTACAGTACTTATCGCCTAGGGGAAAATGTGTGAACCCTATTCAGAAGTAGGGACTTTGAATTAGGGTCAGCTTTCTAATTCAGCATTTGACACTACTACGCATGAAGGTTACACAAACTACGTTCTTAGACTGTTTTTTCTTCTTCCAGGAGACTGCCTGGCTGTTGAGATTCAGTTGATAAAAATTTGAGCACCTCTTAAGTCCTAGGCTCCGAGGTCAGTCTTCATTTTAATACACAAAATAATCCAACTATAACTGGAAGGCTTTTATGCTTCTCTCTGTTTGGTTTTTACTTTAAAGGTGAAATACAACCTTAACTAAAGGCTGGTAAATTAGTGTTTTGAAAGTTAAAGATCATGGGCCTAGTGTCCTCATCCTGAACTGGGCATATCTGGAGCATCTCTGGAAAAGGTAAATAAACCACTTAACTTTCATTGGTCAAGGTTAACTTCTTGTCTCTCAACCTTTTTGCATAGAAGGAAAGGAATAGGTGTGCTTTGCATGGTACTTGTAAATGTTACCTTTAATCCTTAAAGCAACCTGCTGAAACAGGTATCTTGTTTTCCAGATACAGCATATTGCTCCCCTTAAGTTGCCCCCACCACTAGCTGAGGGGAGTTAGAACTCAAATCAGGTCCATTTCTGAAGTTCAGCTCCCTTTTTGCTCTATGAGGTTATGTTACTCATCATACCTTAGCTTCCAGGAAGGCAACCTCCCAGGAGTGGAAGCTGTTTTAAGCAGTGTGGACGAGGTTGTGCTGCAGGGGGCTCTACTTCAAAGGGCACAGGGGCAGGTTCAACCTCCACCATACCTACAAACGTGGAAAATGCTTTTAAAGAATAGAAGTACTGAAGAGAATGAGTAGATACATAGTTTGTGGGTGGTACGAAACTTTAAAGTCACTTAAGGGCAACTTAGAATACCAAAAAAATCTAGTTCAGGTATTTGCTGAAACTTCAGAACTGAAAAACCAAAACAGGAAGTCTGTAAACTTTATCATCTAAAAGTAATAAACCTCAAGAGAAACTCTTTGGGTTGAAGTTAAAGACAGGGCTCCACATGCCTTTCTTTCCTCATTGGGCAGTAGCCTTGCAAGGTCTGTACTGAAAAGATTATTTACAAATGAAACTGTGGGGTTCAGATAGTTTCTCAGCCCCTGAGGACCAAGGTCAGCCTCTAGCTAAGAGAGCTGAGCATTGCTGTGTAATTCTCCCTGCTGTGGACTCCTTCCTGCTGAATTCCTCAGCCCTGAGGAAGGGGAGGTCCCACTTGATTGATTCCACATTTGGCAGCAGCGACAAGGATGCTTGTCTAACGTACATCCTTAAATAGTTAAGGAAACTCATGCTGATCCTATTCTTTGATTTTAATCAAACAAGGGTCTGAAAAAGCAAATGTTCCTTTTAATGGAGTTTCTTTCCAAAGGTAAGAACTTTTTCTTTATCAAGGACATATGATATGTAAATTGAGGCCTGGCCTTTCCTCAAACCCAGCTGCTTCCTGCAGTGGTTACTAGATAGATGCTGGTCTTGGGACAGAAGTGAAAACCCTTTCAACTTCAGGCTTAGAGAATTTGAATTCATGTTTTCAAAAGGGTAATGGTAGTGGCCTCCAGGGACCACTGTGTTTCCAAAGTATAACAGCCTTTTGAGTAAAAGATCAGATCTGTGAAACAAAACCAAGACCTCCTGTAGCTTCTGACAACCAGCCCTTCCCAGACCCTGAAGGGAGAGCCCCTGGCCTCTGTCCTCAGATGCTCTGCTGTGGAAGGGGCTGCTTTGAGTCCTCCAGCAGCGGACCTCTGCAGTCTTTCTCTTCCCTGCTTCAGACATTTTACAAAGTTAATTCCATCCCTTTAGTAGAGGGCAAGACCTACATTTTGTGCCACTGTGAACCCCTGAGGAGTCAGGGATGCGGCTTTTTGATTAAATAATGTGTGTCATGGGTAAAGCACAGGATTTGACATTGAAAAGCTACATTCAAACCTAAGCAAATGCTTAGGCCACACATTTATCTCATTTTTATCAATGGACTTGTTCAAAGCAAACGAAATTTGCTCACTACTTTTGCTACTTAGGTAGCAAACGAAATTTTTTGAAAAAGTGAATGTTAAACAGATGAGACATTCACACTTGGATCAGTGCCAACTATTAATAATTCAGACCTTATCAAAGGTAAGTGCACAGCAGGGCAGACCATATACTTTCAGGTCTTGGATAGAAAAGGGATATTTCTAGGCAATTGATAAACTTAAATGGTCAGTTTCAGTCTACTGCAGGGATTGCTCTGATTCTGCCTGGTGGGGTTGCCTGCACCAACCCAGCACACTGGCACTCTGTAAAGCCAGGTCTTCCAGTTAGGGTGCGTGAGACAGAAAGCTCAAGATCTTAATTGCATAGCACTAGAGTTGGATATGTTTAGCATCCCCCCAAATAAAGACAAGTTTTTATTATCTCACTACTTTTCCACTTTGAAAGACAAAATGCCACATATTCTTGAACATGTGATTTATTTGTGACAAGTAGAAAGGAGTCTCGATTACAAAGGAGAAGAATGAGGTCCCCAGCAGCAAAGAAACCCAAGTGAGACAGCATCAGGGATGTGAACATGGCTTCCTGGAAGAATTTAGTCCTAACACAGTGGTCAGTTTCCCTTCTCAAAATTTCTGTTTTCCCACGTCTGGCAGATATTGTACATGTAAGTTTCATAAATGAAGAAAGACGCTTGACAAGGGTGAAAAGACCCGCGTAGGTGACAAGATGAGTCAGCCTCAGAACCAGGGCTGCTCCAGGCTTTAATGACCATGTCAGAGAGTGACCAACATGCAGGGAGCTCTTTGATCTTCCCTTGAGACATTGCAAAGCACTGCCCTGATCCCTCACTTTAGAGAAGTGCTTAACCAGAGCATACTTTCTTTGGGAGTGTAAAAAAAAAAAAAAAAAAAACTCTGAATGGTGAAGGTTATTACTATTTCTTTTTTCTTAAATGATTTTATTTATTTTTAGAGGGAGGGGAAAGGAGAGAGAAAAAGGGGGAGAGAAACACCAATGTGTGGTTGCCTCTTGCACACCCCCAACTGGGGACCTGGTGCACAGTCCAGGCATGTGCCCTGACTGGGAATCGAACCTGCGATCTTTCAGTTCAAAGGCCTGCACTCAATCCACTGTGCCACACCAGCCAGGGCACTATTTAATAAGCATTAAATTATGCAAACTCAAGATATATTTTGCAAGTATTATATACTGGGTTATTCAACAAGCAAAAAAGCCAGTAAGTTGGTAAATGGGCTATAAGGTCCCCAAGTAGCTAGTAGTGTCAAATCTCATCTGTTAATGTTCAAAGTACATGAGCCAGTTTCCAAAACACTTGCTTTGTCACAAATAGTAATGTGAAGTACAAATACTGGAAGTCTGTGCTTGTAATAGCCTTGAACCTAAGAACTTACACACACTTAACACATTTACAAATGTCTGTCACACAATCCTTTAATAAAGTAGAATCAGGTTGTGGGAACACTAGCTATTTTCATGCAAGGATAAAAAGGCTAGACTTCACAGATGTTTTAGTCACAAATCCCACTTGTCTAGAAGAAAAAGGGTCTATTTTGTTAATATCAGGCAATCCCTTACATTTATTACTCCTCAATTTACGTAATCCACACTCCAGAAGGGCCAGGCCCAGCACACAGCTGTCTGTCAATAATTATGACTCATATCATGGATCCAAGTTCATGGAATCAGGGTGTGAGAAAATAGATCTTTGAGGCCAGATTAATTTTTAAAATAAGTAGTGTGGAATTACTTAGTATGGCTTGGAGATCATTGTTTTCATCTAAAAAGAATATGAATGTTTACTACAAGCATCCATAATGTTCATCCTTCCAGGTAAATCTTTACCTCAAACTAGCATTTGTGCACATTTGTGGAAGAAGAGCTGCCTGCTTCCAGTCTGCTTTTTTGAGACATGGTCTCTGAACAGGGAGAAACCAAAAAGAAAAAGTCCTGTCATTCCTATAGAATCTTTAGTAAAAAATAACCAACAATAAAATTGGATAGACAAGTAAAGTAATGGAGGAATTACAATAGTTAAACCTCTCAAATTTTTAATGTTCTTAGATGCCT